CCGATTCTTAGATATGAGTTTATAGTAACCTACCTAAGGCCAATTCATAAACACGTCACTCTGTGGTGGCCACAGTGTTGCCTATGCTTGGCAGAGAGAGAGAGAGAGAGAGAGAGAGAGAGAGAGAGAGAGAGATCCCCACAGGGAGGCTCTGGCAGCAGGACTGTGTAGTGAGGGCTGGGAGGGACTGATGCCTTCTTTGCTGTCCTGAGGGCTCCACGCACAGACGGAGAGGTGCGGGATGTTATTTTGGAAGCGGGTAATGCAGAGATCGTATAAAGCACTGCAAAGCTCTCTGGGTCTGATCAAGTCAAGCCTGCCATGCAGACCCCAGAGAGGAGCAGAACTGGAGGCCATTCCTGCTCTGGGGCTGGGAATGGAGGCGCCAAGGGCACCCAACAGACGATTCAAACTCTCAGCAAAGGGAAGCCAGGGACCTTGCTAAGGGAAGCTCCACGCCCTTCGTTCACATTGTCCCAAGAGCTGCACTGTTCGTGAACCCCGGAAACACACATGGCGAGTGCGGTGAGAGGAGGAAGAGGGACAGAAGGGAGGAGGAGGGAACGAGGCGCCCCTCTACCTCCCAGGCCCGTGGGAAAGCAGTCGCCGGGACACAGAGGAGCCCAGGCCGGCCCGAGAGGCCGGGGCGGGCTCAAGCTGGGCTCCAGTCCTTGCCTTTGTGTCACCCCTTCCCCAGGCCCTGGCAGACCTCCGTCTTGGTCCCAGCTGTGACGGGTGAGCCGTGCGACTCCTGGTTTAGCGTCCCCGATATGCTGCAGATCCTCACATGTAATGCAGGCATCACAACATTAAACATCTTCTAGGACTCCTGGAAGAGCGACACAGACCCATAACTTCTTATGTATCAGCCAAATATACACATTATTTCTTTCTTCGTATAGTGATATCTGAGAGAATTTAAAACGGGGTCATTGTTTTCCATTTTTATACTTCACATACCTAATATCTAATACTTACGCCTTTAATAATGTGGGCTAAGTATATTGAAGGCATAGATCTAGGATAGATCTGGGACTTCAAGAAATACGCTGTAGAGTCAGCAGGAAATCACAGACAGCCATGTGCTTTCCCCTCCACCACTGCAGACCGTGAGATCCAGATGCGATGCAGCTTGCTCTGAGCTGAAGAGAGTACTGCTTGGCTGTCTCTGTCTAGACAGGAAATCCTACAGCTGCTTCCTGTTACCTTGCATTTCAAAGGCACAGTCTCCTCGGCCCCTGCCCAGTTATGTGCCATCTTAACGCACTCACATTAAATAGATTTGCCCTGACTGTTTTAAACTAAGTTGATCGGTTGCTTTTGCCTCTTCTGGACCCAAGTCTACCAAGCAATTTCATGTCTAGCAGACCAAACAGCAGGGTGACTTCACAGGCGAAAAGTCAGGCTGCTGCTTTAAAAACTATAAATGACTGATGGTGTTACGTCTGACACTGCTTACTTGTCTCAAACTTGATTTAATTTGCTTTATGAAGTTAATGTGTGATCTATAAAAAAATTAAAAGCTCTTAGTACTCGATTTCAAGTTATTTTACCACAATGCAATAAAAATTTAAGCTTACCACATGTTTCATAAGATTATGAAATGTTTGGGCACACTTGTAAAGAAGAAAACAATCATGAAATTAAATTGAGAAAGGGAATTTCTTTTTTAACATAACAGCTCTAGAGCCCTAACTATCCACATGTGAAGATATGCTTGTTCCTTAAGATGACCGACAGGAATGCAGCGGTAGTTTCTGTGGATTTAGTCCATCCTCAGGCAAGGCTAAGTGAGTTAAAGGCGCAGAAGGGGAAGGCAAGAGAAGCGATACTGTAACGAGAGGCGCAGAACCGGTATTTCGATGTCACATAACTTGAGATGGTTTGGAACTGGACAGCAGAGCTGCTGTCCCCTTTATTAGCGCATTCAAACAGCATCAGGAAAACAACCTTCCATTTGGTTCTTACTGAGATTTATTATTTTTAATAATGCCACTTTTCAGAAGTATAGTCATGTGCTCACTGAGACAGGCTGACAAAGTGAAAACTTGTATGTAATGCAGAAGTACCTTTCGGGCCATAGATTAAGACACAGATAGAGCAGTGACAAGTCAAGTCCAATGCCCACAGCGGACAGCACATCCCAGCCTCCCCTTCCCACCACCAGGCTCCACGTTACAACCAAAGAACCCACAATGGGAATCTGGCAAGACACAGAACACGGACGGCTATCGACTGACATGAAAAGTAAAATTTTATTAAACATGTTTACATACATGAGTTGGGAGTTCATTTAAAAGCACAGGGGGGTGTTAAGACAAGTGGTCCAAATAGAAAGATACTACCCAGTTATAACCAGTTGGTCGTTGGCCACTGAGACAGAACAGAATCTAGTAGAAATGCACCTACGCTTCAGGTCTTCCCGGCCAGCATGGTGAGCGGTGCCAATCTGGGCCCCGTGGGATGACGGGCAGATGATCGTGGCATGTGTAAAGAACAATAAATCATTCACTCGGTGCAGGCAGTATGTCTATGGATTAAAACCTACTGTGTACACAGTGTCTACGTGTGTCACAGACCCACAGTACGAAGCTACACCGAAATATTTAGTAGAAGGAATTTGGTCCATTACACATCACGTTTTCCAGAGGGTAAAAAATAAAGTCCATCTATAGACATTTCACCCCAGACCCACTGAACAGTCTGGCTGAAACCTGCAAAATGTCTATAACGAAAATGGATGGCTTTGATTTCTTGGTTATTTCAGTAGAGTAATTAACAAGCAAACTGTACAAGTACATGCAACATACAAGCTGGTCTATGTGGAGCTAACATACATTAGTAAATAATGTGTTTCTTTTTCTTCCTTTTTTTTTTTTTATAAAATGTGCATGCAGCTTTGAACAGTTCCAAGTCATGCTGCTCTCACAAAAATTGAGTGACTCGTAAAAGGAGGGAGAACAGAGGGACGCACCCGCTGAGAGTGCAGCCTGCAGTGCGTACACAGAGGTCACAAGAAAAACTCAAATGAAGAAAACGCAAATTGAAATTTGACTTTTGTTTTCTCCCCCAAAAGTAAGACGCTGTGCATTAAAAAAATAAATAAATAAATCAAGCGTTGTGCTTGCATTGACCTCAAAGAAATGTGAACTAAAATTCAATAAAAACATCCGTTTACTGCGGAATATTTCAACTGGAATTTCAACTGGGATTACTGAGCAGCCCACATCATGCTCTCTCCGAGGGCAGATGGGAGCACCTACACTGAGGTGTGGCCGAGGAACCGGGCACAGCTCAGAGCGTCTTAGGCTCAAATCCATTCCTAGTCACCATTTTGGGAGGTCAAAAGTATGGTTTGTACAGGTAAGCATATTTTGATATCGGGAAGAAAAAGGCATTTCAAGGAGTATCCCCAAAGTATGATTATGTGTTTGGTATTTTTTTTAGTCCCCAGCATTACTTGCAGAATAACTTAACAGCTTTCCAAGCAAAACAATGGGAAACACAAAATTAATTTTCTGGAATGCAAACAAATAGGATCTTCACTTAAAAAGTGATTCTGTGATTATCTCTATTTTGGAGGATAACTTCGTCTTCCGAGTCTCTACAGAGAAGACTCTGAAGAGTTCTGAGGGAAAGCCAATGAAACCCTGCACGGGTCTCACCTGGCCCAGCTGTTGGACATTGGGGAGGTGCCTGAGAGACTGCTTCTGTCCTTTTCGGTGCTTTTAGAAAAAGAAAGGAAGGATCTGTGCTAGCATCTCAAAGCCTGTTAGGATACGGCCAAACTACAGGTGGAACACAGAGAGAACAAAGCAAAACAAAAACCCAACCAAAAACCAAACAACATACAAACAGAACACACAAAAGAACAATACCAACAACAATGAAAACTTGCAGACACTAGGGAAATAACACTGCTTGTGGTCTGTGCAGAAATGTATGAAATACTTTTCACACAGTGAGAGTTTCCAGTTGCTTCAATTGTCGTGTGTGTGTGTGTGTGTGTGTGTGTGCACGTGTGTGCATGAATTTGAAGTCTCCTCTTTCTGTTTGTTCCAAGCATCAGTGACTCTCACTAGCACGTTGATCCATTGATTGTAATTTGATAGATTGCTTCGCTCTGTCGTATGAAGCCATGTTTTAAACAACAATCAGGACATATTATTGAAAAACTACTACAGGCAAAACACAAGTTGATTGTCTGTCCCCAACAATGCTTTTGATGAAATATCTGGTTCAGATTCCTATCCTGAAAGGTAGAGTTTTGTTGGAATGACTCTGGCATGAGTTCACTATGATCGCACGCAGGGAGGCCCGGTTGAACTTTCCAGAGACGACTGGGAGGCCCTGCGGGTTAGGGGAGTGACCGTAGGGTCCACCAGGGATGATGGGGGGAACAATTTGTACCATCCAATCACCATGCTGGACAGATCGAGTTCTTCCAACAAGATTTGAGCCACACCCATGAAGCATTTATGGTCCATCCTGCCATAGTCTCCCCAGACTATCACCTGCAGAGACAGAAATGAACAGAACTTGGTCTTCTCTCTCCTTAACCTCTGAAGCGTTCAAGGCACCTATTCTGTAAAAGCAAGCTGGTCAGTGGAGGAGAAAAAATGAGGACGGCTAACACCAGGGAGGAAGCCCCGGTAAGAAGACCTGATTACTCCTGGTGAGGTGCTCAAGGAGGTGCTCAAGGAGACTTCACAAGTTCACCTTTGATGGGAGACAATGTTTCCCTAGCAAATTCAGCACATTTCTCTTGTAGCTATCTGATAAATTGCTGTCTGCCGCAGAGAATGAGGCATTCACTTCTTTTATACTAGCTGCTTCTTCTTGATCAGATAGGGAGGGGAGTGAGAAATAACTGTGGGCTGGTGCCCCTGGAGGACGCGCCCCACAGTACTGACTGATCACATGATTGTACAAGTCAGTGAGCTCACTGAGGTCACCACATCCGGGTCACCGCCTACTGGGGCCGGACACGCCTCCCGCCACGCAAACCCTCAGCTCTGTCCTCCAGTCCTGCAGTCATCGCAGAGGTTCTCTACTGTGTTCCCCTGCTCCACACACGCAGGGTGTGTGAATCCTGCCTTTCCAACTTACTGAGGAACTTTGCCAAATCGCTTCACCTATGCGATCCTCAGACATAATCTTTAAAAATGGGAATAATGATATTTATCTACATATTTATCCATTTGTAGCTACAAACTCTGCAAGGGGAGATGTAAACCTCTCTATTCCTCCTCCTGTGTCCTGCTTATAGCTCATGGCTGGTACGGAGTACTGCCCAATCAAGTACTAATAGCCACGTTTCCTTTGACAATCTCTCATTTATGTATCCACAGAGAGAAGGCAAGGATGAGAAATAGGGGAAATGCAGAAGGAGATGGTAGGGCGAAGGAAGAGAATGAGGAAAGAAAATGAAAAGGCTTTCCATCGGACCCGTCAGATACGGTAAATACTACACGTTATTGTAAATTAAAGACGGGTGGTTATTTTTTCTACTCGAGGATACAACCTGAAGTCCTTTACTAAATTTTATTCTCTGCATGCTTTACTATCCCTGTGGTGTTTATGTGGATAGCACAGATATTACAACGTAAAAATCGAAACAAATTATTACTGACCTGAAGAACTTTACCCTGTGGGCTTTCGTCAAACACGAGGGACTGTTGATACAAAGGGTCGAGGGTTTTCCGTGCAATTCTTGTCTTCTTCTTGGCTATACAGGCTCCATTTTCCAAAAGATAGACTTTGACATATGGGGCTAAACAAAAATAGTTTAACTTATGAGAGGCTGACCCGGATTCGCTTGACTTTCCTTAAAGAAGGCCTTAGTAGAGGAACTACAGATATTACTGAGAGTTCCCAGGTATTTGAATCATTTTACATTTCCACCACTATATAAATTCTCTTCCTGAAAATGCCATTATTTCTACTACTGCCATTTCCCTCTTTTTAAATTAATGCTTACAAAGTTATCTTAAGACTTTGACTTACATTACAGTGGGTACACAGTACAGGTTTATATCTTAAAGTTCACTGTTTTCCTGTTATAATTAGAACCAAATTCTTTGGCTCATTTGCATTTGTAAATGCACAGAAAGAATAAAGGACACAAGCTAAGAAACCATCGTAATGAAACTTTTATAAATAGGACAATAATTTTGCAAAGAATATCCAGATGCATTTTTATGGAATCAAGATCACAGAAAAGCTGCCTTTTCAGTTAGATGATATAAAACCAAGCATGCAAAATTTCAGGGTGGCAACTGTCTCAGGGCCTCCTGACCAACAGGCACTTTTCCTCACCAGGGGTCGATTTGGAGCCAGGTTTCTGCGTCAGGCTTCGTGCCCTGATAACTTCAACTTCTAACTGGCCCTTCTTATCCTCCATTCCGATCTGTATATCACCTGCAGGTGGGGGCAAAGCAAATGGTCTCAGCTGCTTCGTAGTTAGGAGCGGTCTCAAGAGAAGAGAGTCCCATAACAAATCCAAAGTACCTTCACCATCTTGGTGCTGAGGAGCCCGCAACCCCACTTTGATTCCCCACTTTCCAAATCAAGCTCTGAAATGTTTCTCTTATTTCTTCTGGTCTGTACGTATCTTAAGACTTAATTCACAAATTAGTTAAAGAATTATTAACTATAACATGTAAGCATTTTATGATTCTTATACTTTAAGATTCTTATTCCTAGCTCACTTACTATATTTACTTACTAAGGAAAAACTAATTATTTGCATTTCCATTATCTATGTATCCCCTCAACAGGGAAATAGGAGGAAAATCTCTGCAGGGCAAGAGCTGCCGAGAACACCGCGTCACTCCGTCCCCGCATCCCTGAGTCCCTGCGTCTCCATCCTCCCAAGTAACATGGCCTTCGAGCAGATGTTGAGCTGTAGCAGCTAGAGGTCTGCTATCAGTTATCCGCCGAACACCACTGCTACAGCGAAATTCCCCATACTTTCCTTTAAAGCTTCGAACTATTCTTTTACACTTCGGACTTCTATGGGGTGAATACATAACATACGTTATTCATTGTTACTAACTTCAGAAGTTGATTTTTCTCATTTTGTTCCTTCATCTTAAAAGCTTTCTTCTTGCTTCTTTTTCTCCTGTCTTCCACTGTCCAGGTGGGTTTTCATATTTATTTTGACTTCTCCTTTGCTAGTATCGATTTTAAACACTTTATTTATATTACTTAACGCGGGGATTCTCATTTTTATGTTTACCAAAATGTAAAGTTAGTGTATGCCTTTACAAATAAGTAAAACAATATCCTTAACTGATCTTCACAAATTTTCTGTAGATATCAACTTTTTTGCACCAGCTTATTTTATGTTGCCATTGTACTAATTTAAAAAGAATATACTACCAATCCTTTTTTATTTCTATTGGCTAAATCGGAATAATTACTGGTTCCTTGTAGAAATAAACCACGTTTCATTCATTTGTTCACCACCACTTTTTTAAATCCACTCTTTTAAGTTTACTCTTCCTGTGGAGGTGCCTCCTTCAGTGTGGTGGTTTATACGAAGACGTCCCCGAGGGCTTCACGCACACACAGACAGTACTTGGGGAAGGTGAATGAACTCGGGGTCTCACAGTGCCGTGTTGTTTGCAGGGAGGTCTGGTCAGAGGAGGTGGGCCACTGGAGGTGCCCCGGAAGGACTTAACTCCCTCCTGGCTTTTTCCTCCTCTTCGTAGCCATCGTGAGGTAAACAGCTTTCCTCCACTGTGCTCCTCTGCCACACTGCATGGCTTTGGAGCTGGCTCTGGACTGAAACCTCTATAAACCAGGAGCCCAAATAAATGACTCTTTTAAGCTGCTAATGTTGGGTACTGTGTCTCCGAAATGAGAGCTGTGACTAAGATTTCTAATAACAACTTCCTTGTCTTAGTTTCATTTTTTTTTTTTAGCTTTAATTGAGTTTATCGGTACATTTTAGGGATACAGTACATACAGTACAGTTACTTTCATTGTTGGGATCTTGTACCTCTACATGACAGGTCTTGGTTCTCATTTTTTCCCCTTACCCCTGCCCTTCACCCTTGTCTTAGTTTCTGTGAATGACATAGGATGATTTATCTCTGAAAATGCTAAATATTATTATTTGCAGTTGTTTCTAGTTATTTGAATCATCTTTACTTTCCTCAGATATGAATTCTCTTTGCCAGGTCAGTTGACTGACTTTTTGTGCTAGACTTTCTCATTAGTTTCAGAATACTGTTTTAGATTTAAGTCTAGATGTCTGTTTTGACAGAATTTTGTGGTAATTGCAACATTTGCAACTAATTTGGTTTATCTTGCATAATATCTCAAAGAAGAACTATATATAAGAAATTAGGATGCTCACTTATAACCAGCAACATTAGCTAAAATATTGCCTCTTTTGTGCTATTTTTAAATGATCTTATCAACCAAGAAGCATCAGCTTTGCTGTAGAAAAATTATTTTTACCCATGGCAGGGGTGGCAAGGGTTTGGCGGCCAACAAGCTGAGCTGGTCCTAGTCCATCAAGAAAATCACTGAACTGACTGTCAGCTCCCAGTCGCACTCCAGGAAATATTAAGCTGTAAGCAAAAGGACCAAAAAAAAAAAAATCATTAGGTCTGTTCAGCTGTTGTTGTTTACTTCTCTAGTCCTGAGGATGTAACCCAGCACCTGCTGCCTGCTAGGCAATGTAACTCTAATTCTTTCCGTTACTTTCCATTTGACTAGTTCTGACTAGGAAACATGAAACACTATTCAGGCAATCTGTTTACTTACTTATAGTTTGCTTGTCACCAGCCATATAAGGCTCAACACCAATTAAGAAAATGTGTAAAATACCAATTTAAGACCTGACCCAATGCTCTTTCTATTCAGCAGGGCTGTTACAGGATTTAATGCTAACTGTTTATGAAGCCAAATCCATATCCCTATGTAAATATATTGCTGATATAAAATACAAGATTAAAATTTACAAAGACAATTACACATGAACATTAGTCACATGAATGCTAAATTTTAAACATGACTAATAATTTCTTGAATAAATATAGCATAAATTATTTACAAATACAACTTGTTTATTTATCTTTGAATGAATCTGAGGCTTTTTTCTTCAGTGCAAAGAAAACTCATTAGTTGAAACCTACCTATCTTTTACTACTACTGACAGAAAGCCCAAGTACAAGCTGCACAAGAATGGTGAACATGCTTTCTGCTTACTGCTGTAACTGTTTCTGAGTAACAAGGACCGTGTTGTTATGGCCGGCATTTGGTGAGTCTTTTCGGAATGATCATATTCTTCAGGATTTTACTGTTTCTGCTGTGATTTCATTACTTTTCCCACAACCAAGGGAACTGGACAACATACACTACTGTCCCACTGAGAGACAAAGAAAATAATTCTATGAGACAGTAAGTGGCTTATTCATGCTACAGGTAGTTTTTACTTGCTTTATTTTTGAAACCAGAAAAACAACGTTTTCCTCTGTTCTTTCACTTGCACCCTGCATTATGACTTTACCACACTTAGGATTTTGTGCGAGTGCTCACTGCTCTAACTTTCCTAAGTGCTGATGTTTGTTGTTGCTTCGCCTCCTGGGGGCACACATCCCAATCGCTCCATCCAATACAGTTTCAGGAATAGGGAAGAGAATGAAAACATTACCATGACATCATTTTATTGTATTTTTAAAACAGTGTAGAAAAATCCCAGCAAGTGCAGAGAAGTGTGAAATATTATATTGGTCTACGCGTGACCCAAATGTGAACATACAAATAATTACATGCATTGTGTCCATGATAATTTCTGTGTATCCCACTGCAGCACAGTCTTTTGCCTGTAAGACACATTGCCTCCATAAAAATTCAGTTTTATCAGGAAACATTTTATTTCCAGTACTAGGGACCGAACTCAGGTCCTTGCACTTGCGAGACAGGCGGTGGAACTACTGAGCTAAATCACCAGCCCAACCAGGAAAATTCTTAAGCACAGAAAAATGCAGGTTTTGTGTAGAATAATACAAATGGTTAAAAGGCAATTTAACAAATCAAAAAGTCTGTTTATTCATAATTAATTCAGATAAAACCCTTTAGTTAAAAAACAAAAAGACCATGGGGTTTCTCCCCTCCTAAGCAAAATATGAGTTACAGACATTTTAAAGATAGGAAAATGATCAAAATATTTTATATGTCACAATGAAACCTGACATTTTATAAAATTAATATGTGCTTGATATTATATATATAAAACAGTATTATATATAACGAAGAAAAGTAGAAAAACTGAAATCAGTTCCAAACTTCCAAATCTTAACTCAGATCTTGGTGAGAGGGCCGGACTCCGAGCTCCTCCTGCGAGATACCCATCGCACGTGGCATTTCTGCAGGCCGCAGGCCGCCAAGGACCAACCCGAGCTGGCCAGGTGGACACTGACTCAGCAGGTTCGAGCGCAGGGGCAGAGGCCGGGCTGGCGGCCCGGC